TTCGCTTGCGTTTTCCTACGGAATGTTTCTGACAAGGTCCGAGTATGATAGGGGTGTGAACACTTTTTCGCCAGAAGGAAGGTTGTTTCAAGTAGAATATGCCATCGAAGCGATAAAGGTATGAATCCTTTCCAGTTTTGTATCTGCTGTTTTAACGCAGTCAGTGATGACTTGTACTTGCATTATTTTTGAAATCCTCCTTTAATGTATTTTAATGCGTGATATCCTATTGATCCTATCCTATTTGCTGTTTTATTCAGTACTGCTTTACTTTGTTCGATTTAGTAGGATATAGTGTATTTTTGAATCATATACGTCTTTAGAGACAAACATTGTAAAGTCTCGTAGGAGAAAAAGGGCTCCTCAGTCCACAGGAAGTCATTATGAAAAAGACGAGGCCAGAAAGGTGCAACGATAGAATAAGGAAAGTTTGTAAGAGCATTACCGCAAATTATCAAATGAAGTTGGACATATCGACGTTAAAATCCTTGCATTCACTGTTTACAAAATGTCTGCTGAAGATTGCCTTTAAGTAGTAGTATGTTTTAGTAGTAAGCTAGTAGTATGTTTTTACTCTTAAATTTCTAAAACTACCTTAACGCTGATAGATTCATTTAGCATCATCTGTAGGCTCTGCCATATATTCTTGCCTCTCTTGCAGCTGCTGTGAAAATGCCTTCTTAGTGCATTGTACTCATTTATTCGATCAGCAGCTATATTTAATTTAATTTATTGAAATTAAACTGGGTTTCAGTAATTCTTCCTTACTTTGATTTTAGTTTAATTGCTTTAATTCTTTTATCTAATCATAATTTTAAGCTGGGTTCTACAGCGATTGGCATCCAAACGCATGACGGCGTTCTGCTCACCTGCGAGAAACGTTTGACCTCCCCACTGATGCTTCCTTCCAGCATGGAAAAGATACTGCAGATCGATTCACATATTGGTAATCATATTATTTTAAATTTAGCGTGTTTATACATTTTTGGAAACACGTTTCAGGCTGCACTACGAGTGGGTTGATCGGGGACAGCAAAACGCTGATCGATCGTGCTCGAGTTGAGGCACAGGTATGTCATCTGTTCGTTCCCTTTGTAAAGACAAACGTTTTGCTGTTGACATGACAATCTGCCACTTGATCGCCTATTGTGTGGCTTTCTAAAAAGTGCCCTTCTTGTTTGTTTGTCCTTGAGGATGCTGATCGCATGCTCGGACTCTCTCAGTTGCTGTCTCTTATCCTAGTGAAAGTCCGATATGTAAGTTAAGTATTGCGGTTTTCAGAATTTTATGTAGCCGCCATACCTGTCCAAGACTCCTCTGAAGGAGTCTTTTTTCTTTTGCTTGTATGCGTGATTGCACTCTTTCGATGTATATCGTACTGCATTGGGTGCTTTATATTGACTGAAAGAGACCGATCTTTGATACAGGCGGTAAAAATAAGGTTTCCAGTCCCTCCGTCTTTACACAGAACAGCCCATAATTCGTTATGTCTTTATTTTAGTGCAGCTTCAGTGATGATTTCCTTTTATTTTGTCATTTTTAGAACCAGTGGTTTGTGTATGGTGAAAAGATTACCGTTGAAGGTGTGACACAGGCAGTGTCAAACTTAGCGCTTGAATTCGGTGACGACGATGCGGAAGCAGCGATGAGTAGGCCGTTTGGCGTTGCCATGTTGTTTGCGGGTTGCGATAAGCGGGGTCCACAATTGTATGTGTTTTCTTATCCATTGCACTGAACTTAATTTAATTTAGAGAATTATTCGATCCGAGCAAAATTTTGCAAAATAACTTAGTTTAGCGTACCTAGTGTAATGCTATGTTATCATTCAATAGCCGGAGTTTCGAGCATTGAACTTACTGGTGTAGAGTAATGGCATGCAAGTACTATTTTATGAATTTGCATAATCTGATATATGTTTATTTCGACGAATTTGTTTTTGATTTATGAAACAAAGCAAGTAAACTCCTTTGGTAGTAGATAGCGATAAACTGAGAGGTAAATTTCCACGATAGGCCAACCAGATCACAGCATTTTGCCTAATATCTCGGAACTTCGGTTCTACCATTATTCATATACCAGATTTTTTGATAATTGTACTTAGTTTGTGCTTATTGTTTATTTGCGTTTTTAAGGTATTCAATGGATCCTAGCGGAACGTTCATTGAATGTCAGGCAAAAGCTATCGGCTCAGCTTCTGAAGGAGCCCAGCAGTCCCTACAGGAACAGTACAATTCCGTAAGTTACCATCTCAGACTTCGTATGCTTCTCTTTCGATGCATAACAGAATATCCATCTTTTTTTTATTTGCACTTATACGCTGATTTTCCAAATTTAAGTAAAAATTTATTTCACGCCATTCATAACTTTCTTTTAATACAGAATATATGTAAGTTTGGATGTGAATGGTATCTAATTTGCTATAACGTTGTATCTCCTTTAGTCAATTTCATTGATTGGTGCGCAAAAGCTAGCCCTTGGCATTCTTAAGCAGGTGATGGAGGAGAAAATGAGCGCTATCAACATTGAAGTACGTTAATAGTTGTTTTGCATGTGCTCTACGTTATTTATAGATGGCCATCGTAACTCCGAAGGACGGCTACAAGATGCTTACGAAAGAAGAGCTTGAGGAACTGATCAAAAGTGTATAATAAATGTTTGGCGATGCAATAAACTTTACAGCCGTAGAGAGTTTTTCTATTAAACCTTATTAAACCTTTACTTGACTACGTAGCCTTTGCTAATTTCAATGACATCTTTCTGACAACACGGTTGCGAAATGCCTGGACCTAACTGGTCATTCAATGGTTGGCTGTTCCCAGTGGCAGTGCTTCCGTCAATCAAGTGAAACATTTCATGGAACTGCTATTAAAACAGAACTGCTATTAAAACACTGTTCTGAGAGTCTTACAGTACGGAACAGATGGTCCATTTATTATAACAGAAACCAAGAAATGATGCAGAAAGTAATCGTTACACTTAACAGCACAGAACTATTGACAAAAATGTTATTAACTGCTAAGCTCTTAGCTTAGTGACTACAAGCAAAAAGTTCGATTCACTGTTCGTCCATGCAAGATGAACATCGATTTTGATAGCAAGTGTCAGTGCTTCAGTGATAGTTATGGCCATGTTGGTGATAGTACATAAGCTTTCTGTTTACCGAATATATATTGCGATATTGTCCCATGGTGAAACCCATGCTGGAAAAGTGCTGCGTGCAGGAGAATTAATCTCGTTTTAACGACGGCCACTTATATGACATTTTGCCTTAGGACCTTGATTTAGTTTTTTATAATACAACGATATGCTTGTTCAAGCCTAATCCAGGTTCTGACTTCGTGATGAACTGTTTTGAAAGTGAGCGGGTACGTAAAATAATCGCTGATAAGTGCAGATGCAGAAATACTTCGCAATATCCCAATCGTAATCATGCAGATAACGTTTTATAAAGCGATGCTGCAATGTTTCGACTACCAATGAAACTTTGTGCGCGGGGTCCTCTATGTCCCCAGGCATACTTGCCTGAGGCGAGCTATATGAAATTGAATTTTCGTGTAACATTAAATATAAATTCGGGAAAGTAATATACCAAATAGGCATCGTTGACCTCCAAAGTATAAAATATTATTATAGAGCATACGTGTGATCAAATTGTGTTCATCATTGGTCCTTAGTTTCTTAGTATTGCAACTTTAGAGAAACGATGTTCACTGTCCTTTAAGATCCCAAACAATCATGTCCAAAACAGGATAGATTCAACAGTACTTAATGAATACTCGATGATGTCAATGTCAAAACTGAGGGAAATTGATGTGCTTGCGTGCAGTAATTAGTCTTAAATAGTAGTCCCAAGAGCTCTCTTTAATGGACAAAATACTTTTTCTTATACATCGTACATGGATCGTAAGTTACGATGCCGAACAAATGTGACATTTTTACCAAGACAGCGCATATATGAAGTAAGGGTCAAAAATTGAAATTTGGTTTTACGTTATTGTTTATGAGAATTTACGTCTGAGGTAGCGCAGTCATTTTAGATAGAACACTTTCAATTTTCACTAATGTTTTTGTCCCTGAATACAACTCATGGTGTGACCAATAAAGCATTTTCTCGAATCTCTGGCAATGAATATCAGTACTTAGAGATTCAAGTAGAAAATAGAGGCCGAAAAATTCTTGTACTTCAAGTGCCTCCAGTAATATGAAAAGACGGAAGCATTATTGCAATCTATAAAGAAATAGGGACAGAAGTATCTGTAATGTGCGCTCAGTTCTTTACCTGTTCAAAAATGAAATACAAATAAATTCAAAATTTTGATTATGTCTTAAGGTATTTTTAAGTATACCTAAGCAATTTAGTCTAACCTGCAAATCTGTCTTCAACACTGCATTCTAAACTACTCAGCTTTAGCGGAAAACGTTGCAAAGTCATATTTTGAGCAATGGAAGTTTCGGTAGAAGTTCGTTCAGACCATTCAACGCATAATCCATCTTCCTCCTCAGAATCAATGAATTCCGAAAGTTCAGATGACTCTGCCCACAGCATCGAGGAAATTGATCTGGACGCCCTTGAAACTAAGGTATGAATACTGACTTTACCATCTCATTCGGCGTCTTCAGAGTATGAACCCTTAGGTGAAACAAAATCCATCGAACTACCAGGCACATCTGGAGTTGGTAAACGCTTGTCGCCGAAGCGGTGAATTTGATCGTTTGAAGACAGCGAGGCATAACATGCAGGCAGTGTATCCTCTCTCGGCTGAATTGTGGTTGGAATGGACGAAGGATGAGCAGAAAATCGGCACTGGGGTTTCAGAACTTAAGAAATTGTTCGATTTGGCGGTGCAGGATTATTTGTCGGTGGAGCTGTGGCTGGAATACGCCCTCTGGGGATGCTCTCACTTCAGTATCGACGAGGTAGGTTAACAAACAGCTTCCGCACATCGTGACCTTCTTGTCTGTAGTTAGGTGACAGTCATGCATTTTCAGTTAACATTTTAGTTATGGAGTCTTTGTATTTTAATGTTTCTGCATTTTTAATATCGTACTGTTTGAATTACTTAAATGTGAATTGCTACTACCATCTGATTTAACCCTCAACTTGACTTGACGTTTTGCTCGCGAACAAAAGTCATTTAGGCAAGGGCCGTGTTCGAGAGAGCTGTTCAGGCAGCCGGTTTGCACGTAGCAGAGGGCTTGCTTATTTGGGAAGCATACCGTCAGTTCGAGCTGTCTCTGCTGGAAGAATTGTCTCCCGTTAAGGCAGACAGTGACAAAGATAACGAACCGAAACAACAAGACGACTATCCCAAACAAACCTTGTTCGATGAGCAACGCGAGCGGTTTAGGCGAGTGTTTGTTCGACAGCTATGTCTGCCGCTGATGGACATGGAACAAGGCATGAAAGTAAGACAGACTTTAACTTTTAAATAACCGGTCAAAAGTCTAACCATTATTGCTCATGTTGTGAAATTCTTAAACTCTGACTTTTCTTAACAGAGCGCCAAGCAGCACGACAATGATACTCGGAAGATTCTGTTGCGATTGTACTGTACTTGGTAATCTTCATCAGAAACAGCGGCCTGATTAATTGAAGGAGAAATGACAGATTACTCTTAAGTCCCGCGATGGAATATGCTTCTACTTAGGGGATGAATATGTGTTCTTGTCTATCGTTGTTTCGTCTTTTTTAACTGTGAATCAGTTTTTCTTACTGCTACACTATTTCATCTTGAGCTACTTCTCCTAGCAGAATGTTTCTAGTCTGTGATGTCTCTGGCATTCTCAGCTTTTTAACACTTTACGCTATTGTTAAGCACTGGTTACTGCATTGTAGATGAAAATATTCCTCTCCGAAAGTAGATCTGCCTCTCCTTGTACCATCATGTTGTATGCTGATCTCCTAGTCGACATCTGCCGTGTTTCGGCGCCTATATTAGAAGCTGATGGGCTGGAGTAAATGGTTTATGCTGAAACTGACCGTCTTTTCTTAATCTCCACATGTTCTGAAGTCACCTTGCCCGGAAGATAATGCATTGGTTTCTTACGTGGTGCTTCTATGCAACCATCGTTATGCACAGAAGCCAACACTGTGGCACATAAGTCAGTCGTCATTCTTTCTCTTTCATTAGAGCAACTGTTTCCATGCCGAACAACAGTACTAGTTTGTGCGAGGCAAGACACAGATTGATTTATGCGGAAAGAGGTACTCCATTTTCACCCCAAATATTGGATAAGTTACCGTGAACACTCGAGGCTAGGGTGATCTACCCCATTTTACTTTGACAACATTGTGCCGCTGGAGATGATGGTGCTGAGGTAGTTAAATTGGTAAATCTCCCACGGTGTTTCACGTCCCTGTTGCATTTGTACGTAGTTTGTGTCTGGGTATGGGTTCTTCACAGCGTTCGACTTACGGGCGTTATGGAAGAGGCCAGTTTTCGCAGCTGTGTAACACGTAAGTGACTGTATTTTCCGTACTACTCCCCTGACAATATCACTGGCGTACTTTAGGTCAGCAAGATATCTTGAACGCATTCCGTCCAAAATGACTCTTTAGTCTTTGCCTGGACCAGTACAGTTTCAGAGAAAAAATCAAGGACAATTTTGAACAGCAAAATTGGGAAAGCACGTATCCTATCCACAGTTACGACTGAAAGTCAATCAGATAGCCGTCTTCCGGCTTTGACGGCGGATATGGTTCCTGTATATATCTTTTAAAATGAAAACCACTCATATATGCCATAAATTTTCAAGATTTAAATATTTAATAAATCAGATGTATCCGTAAACATAAGGCAACTGGCAGACCAAGGCAAAACAGCTGGAATAATCGGCATGGCTCCATGATTTTGCGCAGAGTTAAAATTTGGTAGAAAAGCAGTAGCCCATCGGGAACCCTACTCTTTTTAGACGAAGTTTTTTATGACCAGCTTGCATCAGCCGTTCCAGAGTAGTCCAGGTGAAAAGTTCACCCTGATCTTCATAGTAGTGTAATACTAGGATAAGTGGAATACTTGGTCGCCTACGCCTTTTACATATGAGAACATTTATTAAGCACTTCCATTCTCCACAGAATCGTCTAGAGGTTCAAATTTGGTGAAATAGGGAGTGCAGCTCTTCAGCTATTCCCGTTTTTCCATTTTTGCTTAACTTTGTACCAATGCTTTGTACCCCTCAGACTTCATCGTGAGATGTACCTAGACTTTTTCGGTTTATAGTTTTGTCGATGAATCTGAACTATACTCTGTTTTGCACAATTAATGGACGAGTTCCGAACTATTTGATCAACCGGAAATGTTCAGCCTATCTTTTGATACTTTTGTTTTGCCCTGCAAATGAGACCCGTAGTAACATGGATATGGACGGATCGAGTTGTCTACGCTACCATTCTCTGTTTTGTATCTTTGTCATTTCTTTCATTTCATCTCTGTACACAATCAGACTAGCTGCTATCTGGTTTTCTGTGGCTATTTCCGGTAGTATAAATTTATAGAACCATATCCTAGAAGTTATTCGGTTTTTTCCGAGTAATTCAACCATATGTTGCCCTACTTCATGCCATTTTTTCCGTGTACTTTTTTTTCGAATGGCTTAATAATGTGGTTTTGTTCCATCTGTGCATTTTCGCATCATCGGTTTGTGCCATCTGTGCATTTTCGCATCTTCGGTGTCTTTCTTCGATTTATCTCCAAAAGTAAAGTCTTCTATAACTCTGCAGAAAATTTATCAGATCTTTCCTGATTTGAATTTTTAGGCGATGTGCGGAACATTACTGTTTTACACAACTTTTTCCGTTTAATGCTGTCTGCCCTAAAATGTTTACCTGCTTTCACTTCTTTATCCCACCGGTTGTCCTCAATCCTTCTCAGTAATTTGCTCAGTCAGTAATTTACTGTCTTGCAGGAATACTTATACGAAGAGTTTTATTCCAGTGGTGCAGCTTTTAAGTACTTAATTGCCGCTTCTCGATTATTCCTTATAAGCAATTGCTGGGTTTCTCAACGATCGATCCGTACAGCATTCGGTGTCCAGTAATATATTTGGATTCATCAGGATACGGGTAAAAAATCTTGAACAGTTTGCTGTTTAAACTCACTTAAGCGTTCCTGCTGAGGTTATTGTCTTGTCCTTGCGAAAGGTTTTGTCGACTATTTCCAGCGACTTTGGAAACCCCAAGTCACTACCAGCACTCTTGAACTAACGCATGTCCGTTAGACGGTTATTACTTTCTGACTTTCGATTCGATAGCAAACATCAGTAACTTTCAGAACTAAGCTGTAGTGAAGAGACATAGGGCTAAATGCTTTTCGCTATTTTTCTCTACGGGTCATTTGCTTACATGTACTAAGGGATCTTAAGATTGTGAAACGAAATTTAATTGCTTCATTCTTGATCGATTTTTGTCCCAGTCAGAAGAGGATCAACTTTGATTGGAGGCAGAGTTTACATCCGTTTATGATGTATAATTTGTAGCGATAAATTTGCATATTTTTCCTCTATCGACCACCTGCGGTAAGATTGATTGCTTTTAGCTACCGTATATGCCAGTTGTAAATTCTGCATGTTAATTTGTAGTGTCACAGTTCTAACACTGTTTCTTCTTTACTTTCCTCTCTGTTACCTCTGACATATCATCTTTGATTTCTAAGGAACATGTATCTTTTCGACATAATGCACCCCCTCATTGCTCCTAGCTGGCTAGGGGAATTCATTTTAGCAGGGAACGTCTCCATGGCGTTTTGCTACCTCCGGCGCCAGATGCATCTCGCATCATTTTGTTGGGTACAGCCATGTCGAGCTCACCAAGAGCAATGTTTCCGGAGCTGATACTTATTATATGCTACTACATAAGTTGCTCGTATGCCGCAATGTGTCAAATAGCGAATCACTCCTCCAAGACCAGATCTGACGGCATATCTCACCTTCACCTTGCTCCTTATTGCCTAGGGGGTCATTTGCAATATCTGTGCTTATTTTTAGCTCTTCATCCCTCCGACTGTCCCACTGTAAATCCCCATCATCCTTCTTGCCATAGCTTGCTGCTGCGCTCTTGCCGGTTCTTCATTTTTTTGTTAATACCTGTCTTTCAGTCGTATATAGGACAACATCCGGATGATCCTTCTTCGTAATTAACAACGATCACACTGATGAGTCTCATTGTCGA